AGAGATGTACTGAAGACCATAAAGAGGTTATGGCTCATATTAAGATGATCCTGACTCTGTGTTTTGGTTGCTGTGTAGTGCACGGCTCCCCTTCACTCTTCTCATATCAGACTTTCTCTCTCCCATCTAGTGCTGCCCAAGTATGAGGTCCTGGTGAAGCTGCCCAAGATGATAACTATTAAGGACATGGAGCTTCCAGTGTCCGTCTGTGGTCTGTGAGTCACAGAGCTGGTGTAAATCTGTCTTGCTCATCCTTCACTCCTACTTTCTGCTGAGGACCAAAACAAGAGCTGGGGAAGACTTTTCATACGTTTCCCAGACATCCAGTGGAGGCTTGTTCCACCCTATCAAACCTAAGCCTGCTACTTGGCCTGAACAGTAAAAGTGAAGGGTCTTCTCTATGTTAAAAGATTATGCCAAACCAATCTACAACTCTCTCCTCCCAGTTTACTGTCTTTACATTTCTTCAGTTAGAGCTCCTCTGCCAATCCTGAACCCTCAAACACTCAGAGATATCAGATCAAACTTCACTTAAACAGGTGGTGCAAACTCAGGGTTCTCATTTTTAACTCATAAACTGCTCCTCCTGAGCACCTGATTGCCTTTCTACTTCTTCATTGAACCCTCAGGAGTCTGCGATACAAGGATACACCCAGCGGAAATAATTTTGTACAGACAAGCTTTTACTGCATTCCCACAGAGACCTCCCACCTAGAACAGATTCTAATAGATTATGGAAAAATCTTACTATGGAAATGATGGAAATGTACTCACTAGAATCATTAAACTATCAGATTAGTCAGCCTTTAAGAAGTATTAGGAAGTCATCCACAGAGGACTTTAAGTTGTATCTGAGTATGACACTCTGACTGATTGTCTCGTCATCTACTATATTGTTTCACACTTTGTGATTATAGGTACACCTATGGGAAACCTGTTCCTGGTTTGATGAATGTCCAAGTGTGCCGGAAATTTTCCCATTCTGCTTCAAATTGTTATGGAAAAGAAGCAGAAGCTGTGTGTGAAGAATTCACTAGGCAGGTGAGTCCCAAGATTAAAATGTAGGCGTCTTTCTTATGGGTAATGGGCAATATTGTCTAAAGAAGGCCAAATCTGTGACTGCTGGGACATCAGACTATTGTAGGACATCAGAGATATCACTCTGTCCAGGGAAAAGCAGATGTTCTCAGAGAAAGACATTCTTAAGAGGCAAGTCATTAAACTGGAAACAGAACTGATGAAGAAAACCCCACAGCTGATCCCACTGAAACTAGTGATGAATCTCCAGTTAGCAGCTGTGAGGTCCTTGCTATTGATGCCCAAATGGAGAAAATAATCTGTGGAATAATTTTGTAACTGTGGGAAGGACTGGCATGGAACAGAGAGCAAAGAAGATGAGGAGGAAACAAGAAGGCAGTATTGTATATGGGTTAAACACAGGAGAAAGGAGAAAGGGCAACAAGGAAAAGAGTGAAGACAACAGAACAAATAGGAAGAAAAACAGAACTAAGATAGGAGAGAGTGAACAAGGAAATCAGTGCTCGTCTTGGAGAACTGAGTGTCAAGCACCTCACAGAAAATGTGTGGATGAAACATTAGGAAACAAGTTGTAACCAAGTTCTGGTCTTGGAGACAGCCCTAGAACATAAGGCTGGGATGTCATGAACAGAAGTTAAGCATGTTGGATTTAGAGTATCTATTCCTGTCTCACAAGGCACCAAATTTAAACATGATAAGAGTAGATTTAGCTTGAATATTAGGAAAAAGTTCTTCAATATGAGGGTGGTAGATCACTGGAACAGGTTGCCCAGAGAGATGGTGGAGGCCCCATCTCTGGAAATATTCCAGGTCAGCCCTGATGGGGCTCTGAACAACCTAATCTAGAAACACTGTCCCTACTTACTGCAGGGGGGTTGGACTAGATGATCTTTAAAAGTCCCTTTCAACCCAATATATTCTATGATTCTATGAAATTTGTTCACAAAATTCCAATTTCCTCTCCAATTCCCTGCATAGGCAGATGCTCGTGGATGTGTTTCTGGTGTGGTAAGGACCAAGATATTTCAGCTCCAGCGCAGGGGATATGAGATGAACATTGAGGTACAAGGCAAGATGACAGAAGATGGCACAGGTATGTATCACATGGAGATGGCAAAGTGATGGCAGGCCATTACAGGAGGGCCTGGCAAAGATGAGGAAGGTGAAGTGACATCTCTAGAAATGCTGCCATTCATTGATAATCTCTTTTTACTCTGCTCTCTCTCAGGAATAGAGATGACTGGAACAGGTTCCTGTGGAATCACATCCATCATGAGCAAAATAAGCTTTGACCTGCTGGACTCTCAGTACAGACCAGGGATCCCAATCTTTGGGAGGGTAGGGAACTTCTGACTCCCTGGACAATGAATGGCATAGCAAACTTACAAGTGCACAATCTCATCAGATGAAATAGCAGTGTACAGATTACATGGTCTACCTTCCTCTGCTCTTGCACAGGCAGATGAATTACCGTCATTTGGGACACTCTAACAGACACATAGCCCCAAACCTCCAGTGCAGAATAGGCGGCTTGTTGTTCTGAGACATGGGAATAACATCAGGGAGCAGCAGGCATGGGCTATTCCACGAAGGAACGTTATCCAGATGCAAAGAGCGACCACAACACAGGTAGATGTAGTGGCCTCATCAACAGGGGCACAGTCCCAACCAGACTAAGAGCAGCAGGGGTGGTGACAGTAACAGGTGCCACCAACAGCCCAGTGACCACCAGACAATGTGAGGTCATGAGTCAGGGCTGAGCTCAACCAAGGAAGTCTGGTTAACCAGATGGAAACTGCAGGAAAAAGAGCTGGATATAGGTCTACCTTCAATGTAGCTTCAGTTGAGGACTGGGACAAGGCACAAGCCTGAACTTAAGAGTTCCTGAACCAATAGGCAGATGATACGTGGTGTAGGTCCCAGACTAGGTTGGCCCAGGGAATTAAAACCTCTTGAGAAACTTAGGGCTCTAACAGATAATTTTCCTGGGCCCATCAGATTGTTTTGCTGAGAATTTTCTCAATTGCTGCCTCAAACAACTCAGGACTCACCCCATACATTTCCACATTCACATCTTTTGTTCTTCTCCATAAGAAGCATCCTGCGTGTCAAGGAGGCAAAGGGGGAAGAGGCTTTATGACTTGGGAATTGTTTTCTATTTCTAGTCTAAAACATGAAGTTTGTTTCTGCTGTTAGGTGAAGCTGGTAGATGGCACTGATGCTCCAATCGCCAATGAAACCATCATGATTTCTGTGGATGGAGACCTATATAAAGGGAATTACACTACAGATGAGCAGGGACAATCCTGGTTTTCCATAGAGACTACCACCTTCACACAAGCCTCCCTGGAAATGCGAGTGAGTGACAGTGACAGGGCAGAGTGATTGGGGTAAGCCTCTGTCTTTCTGATCAACAGGGAAAATATCTAATCAGTCTTTCTGTCAATTGGAATATTAAGCAAGTTTCTTGGCAGGTCACCTCTCTGTGTCTCCTGTGCATGGTCTCTACCTTCTTCAAAAATGAGAAATATAGAACATACCCAGAGTTTTTCTCTGGAATTTCATGTAACTTTTTACCTGGTTTTGGTCAGCTATGAACTTTTTCTTCTTTATCAGGCTGAACATAAACCTGAACTGAACTGTTATGACAGCGACTGGATCACACCTTCATATGAGCATGCCATCCGTAGAATAAGTCGCTTTTACTCTCCCAGTAAGAGCTTCCTCAAAATTGAGCCAAAGCCTGAGACATTAAGTTGTGGCTTCCCCACAGAGATCCAGGTGCACTATATCTTCACACCAGAGGCCATAGGAGAGCAGAAGGAAATCGTCATTTACTATTTGGTAAGAATTGTTTGTGGTTACTTTAGTCTATGACCAGAGAGAGCGCTGTGGCACATATAGCTACCTTCCAGGATGAGCAACCACAGCACTGCTATATGGCCAGTCCTTATCCAGTAATGATCAGAAGAGTTGGAAGCTGAAAGTGTGGCCTTTGGCAGTGGGATTTAAGCATATTTCATAATACTGCACTTCCAGCTTCTCCCATTCCAAATTCTGGTTCATATATGGACACAGCTCAGAAACCAGCATCCTACAGCAAGAAGATGAAAGATGAAGAGGAAAGCTGCCTCCTAGTCAGTTGTGTCCTTTGGTAGCCATCTGACCACTGAAACTAAAGCAACACCTCTAACTACAACAGCAGAAAAGCTTAATAAGCTTAGAGCTTAGATCATATATCCAGCAATGATGGGAAGTTTGGAATACCACTGTAATTGGAACAGACTATAACATGTGGCATTCAAAACCATGAATTAATTCATTTGGGGGGACAGTGAAGAGAGACTAATTCAGCTGTGACTGAACAGTGATCTGTCAGTTTCACTTGGGAAAACAGGAAGATTCAGATGAGTATTCAAATGGAACTTCATTCCCCCTAAATTTGTTTTTCTGGTTATCTCAATGATTCTAGCAGAAGAGATGAAAGTAGCCTCGGAGAGCTAGAAGAAATCAGTGGAACAGATGCTGCTGTTCTGATGGATTGTACAGAACTTAGACTGAGATTACAAGAAAGAGGATAGAAACCTGTAGTAGAGATGTCCATGGGCTTATTATTAAGACTGCTAGCAATAAACTGAAGCACAAGATTCCTGTTTATCCTGGTAGCCAGAGAAAGCTGGTCTTAAGTAGACACATACAGCAGGTAACCAAACAGTGAGGGAAGTTACATTTTTATAAGTGTGGATCCAACACCTTGAAATTAAAATATGGTGTTATGTAATAGATATTCCACATGGAAAATAATAGTATAGAAAGCATTTTGGGTTGTGAAAAAGGAATTTTTTTCTAGAAAAGACTAATTTGCAGCTAGCATTTAGGCTGTTGCTTACTGCCAGACTTCAGGTACCTTATTCAAGCTCTTATTATTTACAGCCTGTGCTCTTCTATTCCAACTCTGCATGAGTTATGGAACTAATCCTGATTAAATTTTTCTTGATTGTTTCACAATGCAACTGAGAGTGGAATAAAGTGAACTTTTGATCCTCAGTCTGTTCCAAATTGTTAGAAATGTGCATATGACCCCAAAATTTATGTGTGCTCAGAGGCAAAGTGCATTTGAACCTGAAAATACATGCAATATGTGCAAATACATGCAATGTGTACAAAAGGGAAGCCAGGTCTGACCAATGAGGAAACATCGATCCTCCTAGTCCTCCTAGAAGTGAATGTTTCTGTCTTCAAAGACCTAGTAAATTTCAGTCTGGCACTTGTTTTTTGGTTTTGCTCACAGTTGGAGGTACTATTCATGCTCAACTGTATGGTTAACCTGGTGAACATTCATTCTCCTTCCCTTCAAAAGTGGTAGTAACAATTACAGGAAGGTTTCTGTGTCACACAGGTGATGGCCAAGGGAGGCATTGTATTAGCAGACACCCATGATCTGACTGTGAATCCTGGAGATGGTGAGCAGAACTATGCATTTTTAGCATCTCTGATGATGATTTCAAGCAAGGGGGGCATTGAGAAATTATTTTAATTCAAACATTTGATGTTTGAATTGAAATGCATTTTCAAAATTAAATCTTTTAAAATGAAGTGGCTTGAGTTACTTTTGTTTCCTCTGAGTTCTGTCAGGTGCTATTTTTATGATCAGAAAACTTAAGAAAAATGGACAAAAAATATGCATAATATTTGGTCATTTTTTCTTCAAAGCAATACTTTCTGCTGATGATACTTTCTGCTGACAACTCTACCTTATTCAGATTGTGGATGCTTATCAGTGTTATAAGATGTGTGTACAGTGAGCAAGAAGAATATGTCTCCTTTTCTTTCTCTAACTTTCCTTCATTTTTTTGATATAGTTTCTGCCTTATAAGCATGCAAACATGCACATACCTATATTCTAACCAATACATTTGATTTTATCCATATAAATGTTCAAGGATCGCACATTTCAGTAACTGATCCTGGCTATGATAGATCTTTAAATGTCTTTCAGCAATGATACCAGGGAGACATGTTGGAAGTCTATGGGAAGGAGTTGCACTGCAGTGGGTATAAACAGTATATGGAAGTAAAAGATCTTGGGTGCTGCATGTTCATAGAAAGTTCTCCATCCTCGCTAGTAGTAGTGACTAACACTCATAACAAGAGATCTTTTCATCAATGACTTGGGTGAGGGAATTGAGT